TTTTTTTTTTAGTAAAAGCAGGACCAGACTGTAAGGAATTCTTTTTCTCATTCTGGTAGCCTGTCTGGGAAGAGATCTTTACAAAGCCCACTTTTGCTGTTTGTGTTTTTTACAATTTCTTATTGCCTCATATGTTTGCAGTGTCTGTGTATTTGAAATAAAAAAAAAAAGGTTTGATTCTGAATATAGTTATGATCTTTTAGTAAGAGGATATATAATTTCAAATCAAATTTTATCTGTTGAATGGACATAGTACTTCTGTTGTTGTGATGATGTTTCATCCTGAGAATTGACTTACGTAAATTTTCATTTCACTTTTCCTGCAATTTAATTTAATAAATGCTAAATACAAGTATTGAATCAGAATGTAGTGTATTTAATAGAGTCTAGATTATCTTCTAGAGAAAGCATTGATAAGTTAGTATGTAGCTGTTACATGCATAATTTTAGCCACCTTATTATTTGTTTGAATTTCCTTTCATTTTTCACAACTTTTTATGTGTCGGTATTAAAATTTTCCAGTTTTTACATTTAACATTATTTTAAAAACACCAATGAAAAGCCAAATCTATTCAGTACTTGTTTTGCAAAATACGACATTTGTGCTTTACTGTCCCAGACCCTTTTTTTAAAGCTGGGTTGATGTCTTGAGCCCAATTCTGTGAAGTCCTGAGCTCTTTTTAACACTTCAGAGGATTGGGCTTTAGGAATGCACAGCCTCAGGACATGTACCTATTGACAGGCCCTGTTTCAGCTGTCCAGTATTGTTCATAAAGTATTTTGGCATATGTGTAAGTTCTAAGTGCTTTTCAGACTAGAGATTAATTTAAGAACATAACTGCTTCTCTGAATTGCATATATATTTTATGAAGTTGAGCAAGCGTGTAAGAAACCTCTTGGGGCCTTTGATGTCTGTGCAATAAGTGTAAAACTAGGATTTAGATTTTTAAGTCTGTTTTATTCTTTAAGAATGCTAACACATTTAAAATTCAGTGACAACAAGACAGACACAGGGTTGCCTTATTGACATTCAGTAGTCTCAATTGAATTTGGTCTACACTCAAGTCTTGCATCACTTCTACACCTGGAAATCTCCAATGATGTTAATGAAGTTACTGCTGATTTACATGAGTATACATAAGGGGCAAAAAAACAGACTATAAATCTGCCTGGCTTTGAAGACCTTTGTAGAGGGTCCAAGTGGAAGGATGGCATTGTGATATCTTAATGTTCACTAGGCATTTTATATTTAGTAACAGGGGGAAAACTGTGTGCATCTGCTTTATAACTAAGAAACAATTTCCAGACTAATTTTGCTCTTGAGTAATAACCATTTGAAGGAGGATTGTGTCTCAGACAGCAGTGCTGATTTTCCGTGTCTTCTAAAATTGCTCCCATTGTAATTGCTTTTCTTTAGAGCATTTTCTTTGATGCTCTCTAACACACACTTACTACTTTTAACCTTAACAATAGATGTAGCAAACATTACTACACCCAATTTACACCTTGGGAATATACACCGAAAGGTTCATCTGGCATGCAGCTTGTGACAAAAATGGGCACATCAACGAGTGACACTTGCAAGAAAGTGATTTTTAATTGGGTCTGGTACGTGAGAAAAATATGTAAAACCGATTTGAAACCAAATGAAAAAGAAGTTTAATAGATGAGATATGTGGTCTGCAAACAAAATAGTCTACACTGATCATTTGAGTCAGATCACTTCTCTAGGAATATTTCTTCTCACCTAATCTAGGTAGAAAAATAAAAGACACAGGAACAACAGCAGAAAATTGCATAATCACTACAGTTGGATCAGAGCACATAATTTTCTTTAAAAGTATTAAGAAGTCTGTAAAAATCTAAAAAGATCAACCTGATTTTAGATTGATATTTACCTTGCAGCACAAAATAATTATGTAGTATTTTTGCCTGTAACTGTTAAATGTTGCTGCAATTGTTGTTCCATAACATTCTCAAGAGTATCATGTTTTTCATCCAAAATGGTTTACAGAACGTTAGAACAAAGATTCTTGGACTTGAGTGAGATGCAGCCACATCTAAACACAACAGCCATTTCACTATAGTAACCCTATAAAGCCTTTATGGTATGAAAGTGAAACGAGTGCGAATTTAGTTAAAACTGCATTGAACAGCAGTAGGTTAAATAAATGTCATAAATGACCCACCAACCTATGTGCTTCAAGTAAAGTTAATTATTTCTAAGATCAGTGATAGCAGGAGATGCTTTCTCAGGTTGAAAGTTGAATATGCACTTACCAGTGGTGTTAGTTTGCACCGTTTTCCTCATCCATTCGTAAGAGCTGTGCCTTTGGCTGCTGGGAGAGATTTGCTGTGTATTAATTGTTTCTACAGGAGGTAACCCCCCAGATCCAGCAGGGTGGAGGGAGCTGTAATCAGCAGAACTGTAGGAGACCTGTCCAGGAGACGAGCCATTGATCTGTGCAGCAGCAACTGTGCTGGAAGGTCCTGGGCCGTAAGCGTTCCAGTCCTCCCTCTGTGGGCCATAGTGAGATCCCCAGGTTCCCGCAGGCTGCCCATGGGTGTCCAGAGTTGGCACATGATGATATCCCATGTAATCTGAATAGGGTGGAGTAGACACAAAGTTTTGCACTGGCAGGTTGTTGTTGCCCCTTGCAGATCCTGGATACATGCTGTTCTCTTTATCCAAGAGAGAGCTCACATACATGATGCTCACAGATTGTAAATACGTTGTCACAACATCTTGTTCTTCCGTATTTTCTGTCGCTGCTTATAAAGAATTGTGTCTGGTTTTCTCTAATAATGCCACTTTGCTTGGAATCTTCTACTTCATCCTCTTATTATCAACTGTGTTACCAGGTACTGGTGGTAATGGTTTACCAAGATCTTGTCTGACGTCAGCCTAACTGCCTCCCTCATAATTACATTTACATTCAAATGAAGGGCTGACCAACCCCACCTTTCTGCTAGTTCTGGTGCTTTCTCTTTTAGAGAACTTTTATCTATCCTATTACCCTTCCCTGATATTCAACAGCAATTCCAGTACTGTAAGATGATGCAACAGTTCCTTGTATTTTTACCTTAGTAAATAGACCATTTTTTAAGAAAAGGCAGTGGTAACTATAATAGCAATGTTTGGTGTTCAAATGGTTCTCATCTGAAACCTTTATTTTGTGATGTGTTGTAAATCAACAAGTAAATCTGTCACTATCAATTTCTCAGATTTTTTTTTTTAGTATCTCATTTGTACTTCTTAAGGAACACAGTCAGTTTGAATAATTGTAAGTCAATAAATGCAGAATACAGAGTACCTTGTAAACAACATGTCTTGAATATAAGTGTCTCAGAAATTTCCCCTCATTATTGATGTTTGTAAGTGGTTTTCCAGAATGGGAGAAATTAAGGCTCTAACTGCAATGCACATGTTCATGCTTTCCCCATACAGAGTGATTTAAAGAGATCCCTTCATCTGGTGGCCATTGCAAACTGATAAATTTTAAAAAGCAGACAGTAAATCTTCCTAACAAAGGTGGTGCCACAAGCACAAAGAAAATGACTGTAAAAAGCAGCAAAAAAAGTCTTTGATTAGGCCCACTAATATTGTTCGCTTCTGTTTCAAGCTGAAGACAACCTTTATCTGCCTGAAAGGCTGGGTTCCTTCCTCTGAAACTGCTGTATAGCAAGTAGTCTGTCTTCAGTGGTGGCAGCTTAGTAAGTGAAATCAGCAGGGAGAAATACCCGGGTTATCGAGTTAGTGGATCAGAACTGCCTTGATGCTTTTCTGTAAAGCGCCTGACACATGCATTCTCTATAGGTCAATGTAAGTGTTCCCACTGAGAAAAATTATTCTGAAGGTAGTTTTGCATGTCGTTAAGAGCTTGGTATTAACATGGGAGAACTACACCATACTTTATGACTTGAGAATTGCCCTTATATGGTTGTCTAGCTACAATTTGTAGAGTGAATTTGATATATTTTTATCTTGGATGCATTTCTTTGCAATGAGCTATTTGTCAAGGGTTTTGCTTGCAAAAGAGGTGCAAATTACAATGAGTTATTTCCCTTTACAAAAGTGTGGTTTTTCATTCAGCATCCTTTGTATTTTGATACTACTCATATTCACACATCCCTTCTAATTCCAGCACTAAGGGATTCTAAGTGTGTACTTAAAGACAGGAAAGATATTCCTCTTCAGGTGTGGTGTTTGGGTGTTTTTTTTTTTTGATGAAAGAATTTTTACTGAGAAGTGTAGCAAAATCTTTATAAGTCATTTTGCTGTATTTACAGATTTCTTTATTAATCCTTGGGATCCTGAGAATATTGAGGAAAGTTGCATCATGGGATAGGACATGGAAAAAGTAAGGCCTTTTGTAATTAGCATATCGTTATAAAAATAGACATTAAAAAAAAATCAGAAGAGACTCTTGTTCTCTTCATCTTGAAAGCAAAGGCATTGTAATACGATTTTTGAGAGCCCACAGACTTTTTAGTACTGATGTGTACTAAAAAGAACAAAAAACTCCACTGAGCATGATGCAAATTAAACAAGATATGTTTCCTATACTGGAAGTATCCTTGGAATCTTTGGCATATTTGTGAGCATTATGCCAGTAGTTAAATTCCGATGTATTGCTGAATGTTACGCAGAGCTGTCAATCACAGGCGGATCCATAGGAGGATGAAGCTTTGTCTCCACTGCCTGTATCTGAAATACATTGACATAGTACAAATGAACATTGGTTGCTCATAGATTTCAGATCACACACGTTGTTCGACTTCCAAGCACACCATTTTCACACCTCGGTGAATGACATTTAATTTCATAGAATGCATTAGATGATGGTAACATTTTTAATCCCTGGTTTTCCTCTTTCTTTATGGGATGCCTCTGCACATACTCCCCACAATTTCAGTGCCACCTAATCCTATTTTTTGTATCTCAGAACTTTATCCTTTATTCTCTGTTCTTCTTTTATCTTTTGTTTATGCTCCTCCTTTCCCTTTCTTGTTTTGCCTGTTCCATTATCTGAATTTTCTTTAGATCTATTTCGATTCTTTCCAGAACATAATTAGATCAAGATACACCGATGGTGAATTGCTACACTGATTTGATATCGGCTAACAATAGTAACCTTTGAATAAAGCATTTTGTTTAAAAAGATTTACATAGCAGGATAAGATTGCTGGGTAGGACTGCAGATTTTTAACACCAAGGTGAGAATAAGATAACTAACATGGCAACAGTCAAACGATCTTCTGCACCCTGACTTTCATGCCTCCCATTTTGTGTAACAGAATCGTGGACATGTGTTAAAAAGGAACCATACTTTTGCATGCAGTTTGGTAGTCTGAGGCTACCAAAATTTTGGGGTTGATGTTTTTTGAGAGCTAATTGACTGTTAATCTGAGTCTGCCTTCCCAAGAGTCATTTCTTGGCCATGCATGTGTCCTTCCTGCTCAGACCCTGCACGTTGGTAGCTTCAGAGCCATAGAACCACTGCATCTTCAGTGTATAGCAGTAACTTACACTGTAGTTCCAGGAGCACTTTTATTGGACATTGCCATCAGGAAAAAAAGAAAAAAGAGTGAACTGCCCTTGCCTTGTGCGTATTTGCACTGTGAGAGGATGGCAGTGAGTTGCTGGTGGTAGAGGAAGGGCTAGTGTGCTGCCTGTGCCAGTGTAAAGTGCATGTGGAACTGTTGTGTTACCAGGGGCCCTCTCCTGACTATCTGGAGTGATGGGAAAGCAAAAGCAGTTCTGAGGTGGTGGGCTAGACATCCAGAAATCTCATCTATATGGAGGTTTGTATTGATACCATTTTCTGCACTGGGTGATAACAACAGAACAGGAAAGATCTGTGTGGTATTGGCAGCAAGAGTGCTACGTGCTTTGCATACTTCAGAGGGATGGATTGCCAGCATAACTGAATTCCAAGGTTGTAATTTTCCATTTTTTTTCCCACCTGTTAATATTCTATGTATAATTTTTCTACTTAGCCAGTGTCCACAGGAGTTGCCTCAGTGTTTGTTGGAGTGAAGTTGTATGTGTGTAAAATTAAATGTACTTTTGAGATCTTTGGGAAAGAAAATTTTCTGGTTTTCTAACAAGTGGTTAGTGAAAATCTAACAATACTAACAAGTATGGTGATAACCATTGGAACTATTAAAGTTTTGTTTGTACAGGCAATGTAGATGGTATGAAAATTATATTAAATCTATCTGGGTTTTTGTTTCTGAGGTGTAAAAAAACAGGTGAACTTAGCGTGTCCCAGTCTGGCTAAGGTGATAGGGGTAGATGTTTGTTTTCTTGCCTCCAGATGACCACTCAAATAAGCCTGCTGTTACTGATGTGTTAGGAATGCTTCTTGCCCGTACCTTTATAACTGCATGCTTGGAATTTCAATGGAATGGCTAGCTAAGGGCTTTGTTAGTGAACTATGTATTGCTGATAGTTTTAATGCAGTCTTTGGAGGTGTTATTGACCCTTTATTCAGCCTGCGCTTTGCGTGCACACCCGTTCCTCCTAGAATTAATAGTCATCTGTATAAATCTTGAGGAAAGGTCAGTCAGTATGTGGCATGCTGTCAACTGAGGTCAGTTGTGTTGGAAAAAAATCCAACTAGTCATGAAGGCAGGCAGGTGGCTTTAAAATTTTAAAACACACAGTTAGAGGCTGCTCTTGCTTTCAAAAACACAAAGCTTCTGAAAATTTTGATTACCCTTTTTAATTGGGCCAGCTTAATATGCAACACCCTAGTTAGGTCTCATTTGCAGGGCTTGAAATGCAAGCATATGCCAAATTGTATCTCTGTAGTGACAGATGTGGCACAGCCTAAAGAGATGAACAAGCAATGGTAGCTGAACTATTTTCACTTGCTGAACTGAGCTTTTTTGGAGAAAAAGGGGTATAGCCAAGATTCATTTCTGTACTGTGTGTCTCTCTTATCGCTAATGTGTATTTCTTTTTGGTAAGAGACCAACAGTAGAAATAAAAATGTCAGTTGTCCATGAAGCCTTCCTCAATGGTTTCATTTTTAATTCCATGCTCTGAAATTTTGGTTGTTAACAAATCCTTTTGAAAAATGGTGAAAAGAGACTTGTTGGGAGCATGGTGATTGTATTTACCCTTCTATCTATTCCATTACTGTTTTTCTAACTGCTGCTAACAATGACTTATCTTTCATTTCTTAATGTCAACTTCTGCATTTTATTAAAAGTAGCAACAATATATTTCATGTATGATCTGCATCGGTGTTGTATTTGCCAGGAAAGAGAGGTCTGGAGTTAAAGGAGGGTCTCACTGTTCTGAAATCTAAATAATTTAAAACCTGCTACAAAATCAATACTGACAGTAGTAAGAGTATGTCCTGCTGCTCAACAAGCAGACTTAATATGGCAGGAGTTACAGAGCCTGCATGTGAACTCCAGGTTAAATTGCTTCTTTTTAGCAGAACCATGGAAACAAACAGTAAACCCTTTATTGATAATTATTTGGTTTCCTTCCTGAGTCAAGCTGTGTAGGGCTCCCACTTGCTGTAACTAATTCATGCTGACCAGAGTATAGCTAGATGGGATTATTGGGTGCTCGCTATTGAGTCCTTGAGATGTTCTTTGGTGTGGTCTTTCTTTCATAAGGTAACAACGGAATTGATTGCCTCTACTGTTTGCCATTCTTGCCATACACATGGTTGATATTCCTGTCAGACTGGCATTTCTGTTGCACAAATTTAACTCTTCTTTCATACTCCCAGACAAGAGAGATATATCTACATAAAGT